GCAGGCTTTACAATGCAGCAGTGAACAGTAAAGAAATTACAAACATGTCGGCACCATTAACGAAATGTTGAAGAGACTCTTTAGTATTCTATCCACAGCTTGAATAAATGAACTGTTTTACACCTATGATGATTGAACCGACAGGGGATTTGCTTTAATTTCTCTGGGGTTACTAACTTTAAGCCTTGCTTGGAATTAAAGGATTGGTATAATCTCATTCCTGTCACAATACAACATTTGCAAAATACTAAAGTAAGCTGAGAAATAATCCCGGGCCCACCTGCCTGTTATTTGTACACTAACAAAACTACAAATAATAAAGTCATTGTATTCAAAAACCGCAGAGAATCAGATAATTACAGTAATCCAACACTTAGATTCGTTACAGCAACACAATTTAGTCAAGTCTGATTACATGTTGTGAAATTTAAATTTCTGATGATGATATCAAAATATAAATCTGTACATTTTTGCTTACGAGATAACATGACGACTGGGTTAATGTACAAACGTGTTACAGAATAATTGAATTTCCAGCGATTACATTCATACTCACATGAATCCAAATAACACGATCTGAATATCATGTAAACCTTTTGTCAAGATTTATGCAGGATGTAATTTACTACAACGAGTTCAATATTATATATAATTTTGTATTTTATTTTTGATTTCATGGACACATCATTCTGAAAACTGAATTATTTGCACAAAATTTTCAAAATTTAAATCGGTTTCATGCCCTCCCACATTCAGCGGTATTCCGTCTGCCTCGGCTATTAAACGAGATACTATTGTGAGTACTACGTGAACACATTGCGGTGTCAGCAAAGGTGAAGTACACAAGGGCATACAAATTAAACTACATACAGTTACTGAAAATCTGATGAAACAACCACGCTGCAACGTCAGTGCACGGCTGTAAAATTATAAAATCAACAATGCATTATCAAAAACATTGACCAGAAAAACATACAAAGTTTTCATAAAAAAAAAAAGATTTAATTCATGCCAGTCAGTCAGTCAACCTTGTTAGCCGCCATTTTGAAAAATTAGGCAGCATCTCGATTCAGATTAGATTGACAATACATTGGGATTTGTTATAAGAGAAGTTGTACAGTCACACATTATAAGATTATGTCTAAGACTATCATACAGTAGAACTGTTATGATATGTTATGGTAGTTTGAGAATAACCACATTATTGTACAACTTCGGGCCAAAAAAAAATAATCGACAATATAACACTCTGTCCACTTCCGATTTGTTTTGAGTTGTCTGAGACTGACATACATTGTACACCATTCTAGGTCTTAGTGACTCAAAGTTAGAATGTGTATCAAGACATCATCTGTTAAGTGATCTAGCTCAGGTCACAACAAAATAAAACAAGCAGAAATGATTCACTTCGAATTAACAAAAGATTAAACACAGCACCAAACTGAAAAAGGTCAAATCAAGTACAATAGCACTCAGGTCATAGGTTAAACAGACAGCTAAATTCCATAGGTAACTACATCAGGTTTTGATTCTAAATTACAACTTACATTCAATTATGAAGAAAGCGATTTGAGGTTAATTGTGTCCCAAGAAAATATTTGTGATCGTAGGTTTTCATGGAAGTCATTGCATAGTCTCAAATACTTCACCTTTGCTTTCACAATTTATCAGAGGAATAACTCTTCGGAAAAAACACTTTGAAAGTTACAGAAGATACTTTTCACATTATGGAATATAATAAATAACATACATGTAAATCAAATCGCAATTTTAACGCAGCAACATTATTTAATGTTCAAGTGTGTTGCAACACAGCTGCCACGTTTCCTTCTCAGCGTAATCTGCGCTGGTAATTTCAATTTTTACGTTCCTATATAGCTGGAAAATAAGTCTTTAGTTCGCCTTTAATACATAGTTATTGTAATTAGGGCTCGATAGGATGTAAGAAATGCAATTTGTAAAGACAACGTGGATGCATGGCGATTGTAAAGTTCTGATATCCCATGTCCAACGGTAACAACATAGACTACACCTGTATCACATTGTGCTCTACCTGTCTCAGTTTATAGTTATAGCTGCCCATATATTGATGAATAACATGTCCATCCAGTAGTCAATGAAAAGGCACAACAGCAACGATGACAATGGCAATTAGAAGCAGCACGATGATCACCATCATAGCTGCAATTATAAAAAATCATATATTTATTTATTTTTTAGTCAGATATAATAAATAATGTGAAATTCTAGACAATTGATTAAACATGTGGTGCTGACATATAGTGCATTTCGCTGAGCGGCCATCTCTCTATCAAATTTAATTTAATGCACTATCATGAACCATGCCTGGTTGAACACAAGCACCTGCGGTCTTTAACCAAGGTTTCTTCAAAGTTACATTCGTTAGTAAATAAATCTCAGAGATTGGATGTAACCTTCCCACCAAGTCTGTGGCACACTCACTCGGGATAGAGGTCAACCCTGTTTAATGTTCATATGGAAAAATTAAATTTTAATCTAAGAAAAAAACATTTCCAGCTACTTGCATACAATTGTTCTAAATACACACCATGTGATTTGACTTAGTACCATGTGTTTACTTCATTTGAGGTCAGTATCACTTAGATAGAAAAAATCCAAAAATTACAGAACATGACCCTTTACCTGTGTATGGCTACTTTTTAAGGTAGAAGCCTACTCATGATTTCAAAAACCCAGAATTTATTCATTTTCCAATAAATTGTACTTCTGGGCAATATAAGGATATTGTCCTAAAAAAAGTTTGGGGTCACCAGCTTAATTTTCAAGAAAATTATGTGGCAAGTGGTAACTTTGGCAGTGAGTATTATAAGGTGCTTTAACCATAGGTTCCTATGGTCGAGATAATATGTCATATTTTAAACTGTAGGCTGACATAGGCTGATATTTATTATATATTGTTAATGATGAAGTACTTTTTGTTGTTCTCATACTTCAACAAATCTATAAAATTTATGGAATTGTTCTAAAAATAGTGATTTTTGAAAAAAAAAAATTAGAACAAATTTCTCAAAATATGTCACTGTAACACACAAGAGAATGCTAATTTATGGTGCCATGGGACAATAGCTTCACAATTTTACACAATAAACCAATGAACACTGTCATGTGATTTATTACCAACTTTCTCCAAAATTATGAGTAGGCATCTACCTCAAGACACTCTGCTGAAATACCTAAGAGCAACCAAACTACTTTGCATAATTTTTGAATCAAAATTGATGTCATACTTAGGAATTAACACTGGGGATTTTACAAAGTCATTGTTGACATGTAAACTACTGGTAGTTTGAGTGCCATGACTTTGTTCTTTGTTATTTTTATAATAGAAACTTTCACTCAGGAAATTAAATAATGTCACTTTCTTTATGTTTACAAATGTGATAAGATGAAAAAAATAAAAGATTATTTGTTTGGAGAAAATCAATGTTCTTTATGGAGTAAACACATGTTTTGACTAATGTCAACACTGACATGAAGTTCATATCTAAAACTGCATCGAATAAGTTACATGGGACATATAGTGTACTGAACTCATTAGATACCATGTTATCTTCAACTTTATTTGGAGGAAAGAAAAAGAAATTCCAAACATAAATGTTTGTATCTGAACTATCCAAGTGATTTACACTGAACTGGACACAGCTTGTCCTAGAATGCTTTGGTGTCCACAGCAAGTGGGATTCTGGTTCAAATGCAATGAACTCCTTTATGTGTTGACCATAAGCAGTTTTTATTTTCTTCTTCTCATTGTACATTATATCCCCCCTGTACACAGGAGCTGTCATGTTTCGCACCCAGCATGATTTCCTCATACAGTTTGTTCATAGTCCATAATGTATGACACATGTATAAGCACTTACCACAGTTTCCACTCTTCTTATCCACTTTTTTAATGTGCTTCGTTTCCTTCAATAATCTTTGGTCTGTACGACCTATGTGACTTGTTAAATCATCAATAATTTCTGAAAAGAACAAACAAGGTCACATTATAAATGTTGCTGGTTGGAGAATAAAAGTGCCAGTCCTAAACTATTGATGATTTACCAGTCCCTAGCAACATAAATTACAATATATTATATGAAATAAAGGCTCATCACCTTTTTTTCATCAACTTGGAAAGCAATTTTCTGGACATCAGCAATTTGGATAACCCCATTTGGTCAGTTAGTGAAATCGTTACTCAGCAGGGATAGACAATTTATACATGTAGTGGTCATAGGTAAAATCTTGGACAGGTAAACAGGCCTTAAATTCACACTGAGGAGTGTGTACCATACAAGACACTGTGAGATCAGCAATCACACACACTGAGGATTGTGTACTATACAAGACACTGTGAGATCAGCAATCATACACCGAGGATTGTGTACCAAACAAGACACTATGAGATCAGCAATCATACACTGAGGATTGTGTACCATAGAAGACACTGTGAGATCAGCAATCATACACACTGAGGATTGTGTACCATACAAGACACTGTGAGATCAGCAATCATACACTGAGGATTGTGTACCATACAAGACACTGTGAGATCAGCAATCATACACTGAGAATTGTGTACTAAACAAGACACTGTGAGATCAGCAATCATACCAGAGGATTGTGTACCATACAAGACACTGTGAGATCAGCAATCATACACACTGAGGATTGTGTACCATACAAGAAACTGTGAGATGAGCAATCATACACACTGAGGATTGTGTACCATACAAGACACTGTGAGATCAGCAATCATACACACTGAGGATTGTGTACCATACAAGACACCCCCCAAAATGAGTTGATGTTTATTTGATAAAAATTATACTTCACACAAAATCAAAGTGGAAATTGCATTTGTAGTCTTCAGTACTATACAGACCAGTAGTCACACTAGCATTGTTACACAGGGACATAGTAATGTCATGCATGCAAATTAACTAGTTAATATTCACAATATTTCCCACTTGTAATATGCCCAGTGAAGACATGTAGTTGACATCAGAGTGTTTTGTTCAGAATGATATGAAAGATAATGCAAGGCATGTATCATGTGATTTCATTACCAAGACAATTCACTAGAAACCATCTGAAAATGATTACCCACTGTGCTAATCTGTTATATTTTGATCTAAAGACATGCTGTCCAAATCAGACCAATATTAGTCAGATAGCAATGTTCACACTCTAATCTCAGTTTGGAACTAACTCAATCCAGAACCTGAATAAAACTTTACATTGGTTTATAACAATTTAAGACGGGAGATAATTCTACTCAATTCTGTCTCTATAATGGACACACGAAGAAAGCCTCAAAACATTTTCTGCTAAACATTTATCATGAATGATTTAATGTTACAGAGATTTTAAAGAGATTTCATTTTACATATAATAATTTTAAAGGGGTAATCCACACAGTGCTGCAATCACAGCAGACATGATAACAGAGCATTAGCCTGAACTCGGCGAATGAAGTGTGAACATAACTTATTCATCCATTCAAGAAGAACAAATGCAGCAGTGATTCGTAAATACCTAAGTTATAGGGGGGTTGGATTGAATGTGAGAAAACTGACACTTCTCATTACTGTAGTGCGCTAATTTAGACCTGACCCACCGCCGGTACAGCTACATTGAAAGGCTTGCAAGGATGCCAAGAATGTCAGCTGTTCAAACCATGCTCACTTTACCCATTCTGTCTATAAATGTGTCAATACAGCCGCTACCCAGTGCATATTGTGTATCACCGCTCATCTTATTATGGGATAAATATCTACAAACACCCAAGTGACAAAGTCTCTAACCCTTGACACTTACCCTTTGAACTCTAAAGACAACTTGTGTTCTCATCCTAAAAATAAACCAGCATAATTTTTTTTCTATTTTCTCTCCTAAAAATTTAATCAACTCCTATTTTTATTTGGACATTAAGTCCGTTTGGTAGAAATAGAAAATTATCAAAAATGTGCAAATGATTTTCGTGAGAAAAATTCATATGAGATTAGAGAGAAATGACTACTTAACCAAGACGTCTATGCTATTAAACATTTTTTTTTAGGAAAAGTAAACCTAATCAGAGAGGCTACATGTATATGAAGGTTTGAAATTCAGATATACATTGTATTTTATTTTAATACCCCCCCCCCCCCCGCCCGAAAAAATACATGGTAAATACAGCAAAAATTCAAATTAAAGAAATACTCAGATTAGTTTGATCCTGATCTAATACTACTAATGTTGAAATAAAGAAAAGCAGCAATGCACATGAGATAAAAAAAAGAAAAAGAAAAGAATTCTAGAAATGTAGGAGTGGGGATTTTTTTGGACATTGCCTGATTGTTGAAATTTGTAGCTTGCCGGCAGACACATGTCAGACACATGTCAAGCGAATGTGAGTTCTTTCCTGTGTGTGAAATTTGATTACCACGATTTTGATCAACAAGAGTTTTTTTAGAGAGGCAAAAAAAAGCTAGAAAACTTAATATCCAACACTGCTATCAGATTTCGTTGTAAAAATAGATTTTGTTTTGACAAGTTTTAATCCTGGTATACTTATGTCAAATAATTGAATTCAACAAAAGTTACAATACATTCATAGCAGCCCAGAGACTATTCAATCCAGCGAAAGAACAATACATTCATAGTAACAGAAAGACTATTGAATCCAAGGAAAGAACAATACACTCATAGCAACAGAAAGACTATATATCAAATCTGTTAACACCATAATTTTCACCACAATATCTTGGTGCAATGTTCTTACGTATGTTTCTATAATTTTTTTTGAGAATTTTTGACACAATGAACATAATTTCGAATTGCCTATAAATTTTGTAAAATTTAGAAAATAAAGTGTTTATTTTATGAATAGTAACAACAATTTGGCGTTCAAAAACTTGACATTTCAAAAGTTTTCAATGTGTTAACCTTTTCACCATTATTTTCCTCTTTTAATCACAAATTAGTTAACTTTATAGTCTGCACTTTTTTTCAGAAGATTGGGGAAAAAAATGGCAAAATGTTTTAGGTAAAAACTGAAATTTGACTCAAATTTTGTCTATTGGCTCCAAAATTAGGGTTCATTTCCAGAAATATTAAAAAATAAAAAATAAAAAAAAAACAGAATTTTTTTTTATGATATTCACCTTTGACTCTGCATATAGCAAAGTAATTTCTACTTTTTACAATGTATTGTATTTACCCTTAGGTCCATTAAATTCACTGCAATGTGTAATACACAGAGTCAACATGGCGAATAATATAACATTGTGTTATTTACCATGGAAATTCATCAATATAGTAACATAAAATCTGTATTAGAACAATTTGAACAATTGAGAACCAAAAATTCACCATTTCTCATATGTGTAGATTCTCTAATCAGGGATGAGAATGAGAATTTTAATTTTCAGGTGAAAGTAAAGTAGCCGGAGCCCAGGCTGACATCATTAAGGACTTCCAAGTCTATGTCCAAGCCATTGGTTCCGCTGGGCGACAGGACAGCTCACTCCGAGGTAAAATAAAAATGCATTGTATTAGTTGAACATTAAGCAGCGACTTAAAAAAGAAATATGCCAATGAAAAGTTCGTCCATCTCAAGGCAACCTTCTCGAAATGTTTTTTTTTTCTTCATGCGTGTTCACGCCACGCATCCCCGAGAACTGTAGTAGATCAAATCGTTACAATACAGACACTGCGCCTTTTCCGGGACCTAGCACTTGCCGATGAAGTCACTAAATTTTTCAGTTATCACTTCATATTTCTTCTCGATTCGCACGGTCAAAGTCACTTCCTTGTCAAGCCATGCCCAACAAAATTTGTTCCTAATGTCTTTATCGATCTCTTGCACGGCTGACTCATCTTTTGCAACCAATTTCACCATTACCGCAGCAAGAAACTTGTAAACAACGATCCAGCGCAACTAACAATTGAAACAATAATGGCGCCGTTGGTGAAAAGAAAAACGAAAGCTCTTCACTGATCGTATTTATAAGTTTTGTTAAAGATATTTTACTGTATTTGTATCTGACACTGATAACACATCAATTGCTAACGCTGTTTCAGTTGACAATGCATTAAGATTGATAGTAATCTCTTTGTTTGATTTAATTGTTTTGTTTTTGACATTGATTTTACGTAAATTCAGCATATACATGGAGTAAATGAACTTGAATACAACTGTGATAAGAGCATTTTATGCAAGTCTGTATTCCTTCTGGTGAGGACATCAGTTGTGCGGCTTAGCAGAGCACAATTCAAACATAAAACCTTTTTATTCTAAAATCTGTATTAGAAGCCATATAATACAATGCAACAGAGGGGATATGGCTTCTATTAGACAGGGATGAGAATTCCCTGTGGATCTGTGGAATTCCGTGGATTTCTAAGCCCCAGGGGTCTATTTTCTGAAACGTCCAAGACCAAGGAGAAAATTTTAGGGGGGGGGGAATAAGAATACAAATCTTGTTTATTCACCGGAAGTAAACATGCTGTTGGGTCATTGTTGTCAGCTGCATAAGGCCTGTATCAGTGTATGGTCGAAGGGAGGCTCGCGGCGGCGTCTCCAATGCGGAATGTTCGCGACTCTTATCAGTGCAATCGTAAAATCTGATGTTGCTTCCAAGTGTTCAAAGTAATATGTAACGATTAACATGATTGGCTGGGTTAGTTCTGACGGGCCAATTATGCGCAATCATCCATAACAGTTAGTGTTGGTAACATGGTCAGATAGTCCAGCACAAAACTTGTATTTATAAAACAAAATGTACACTCATTTACCACTAGAGATCTCTCAAGAAAACATAGCTATCATAACCATCCCTGTAAAATATTACAATCATGATTTCAACAACAAAAAATTGTGTTTTCTTTACAGTTCATTCAAAACAAGATATGATATTAAATCCAAGCATAGACTGAATTTAATTTGTTATTGAATTATACAGTATGAAACTAAAAAAAAAATAGAATATTCTCTTCCTAAACGTTTAGAAAAACTTTACTTATAGAATGTACAAGTTCAAACTAAAATTTGAACATCAGATCACTAGGCTGACTTTGAACTATTTCCTATCCACATTTATTTTGTCAAAATTGCTAAAATTGCAACAAATGTAAACCTATCACTTATAAGTTTTGAAAGAGAGAGAGCTTTTGGGTACAACATGTGTATACCCACAGTAAGGCTGAATCAAACTTCATTTACCTGAGGGATTGTATGGATGCTTAATTTAACAGCCAAAAAATAGGTGGTCACTGAAGTTGATTCAAAGATCATAAGGAAGTGGGCCCTCTAGTGACTAATAATGGAAATGTGTGGGTGGTACCACTGTATATTGATTTTCTTACACACAAAATATAAATATATAAAATACATGTTGATGAATTTCTATGGTGAATAACACAATGTTATATTATTCGCCATGTTGACTCTGTGTATTACACAGATTACTTGTGCAGAACATATGGAACACCACTCATAACTCATTTATCCATTACAAATACATAGAGATAAAACAAAACTAGTTAATTGAGCATTTAACTGGCCTCAAAAAAAAAAAAAACCAGGTCTGCACATTATTTCATGGCACCAACACTTGGTTGAAATCCAATTAGCAGTTGTCTAAATATTATCTAAATAAAAAGTAAAAAAAGTCTGTTCATAGCTGCAAAAGTTTTGGAAATAAAGGAAATGCACAGTACACAGCTTGAACTTTAACCTCATCCACCAGTACTACTCTGCATGAAAAATGCACCTTCTACAATACTGTCCTCTATAGTTACACAGGTGAAAACATTTCTAAAACACAGTTGAGGGCAGTGTTACTAGAAAGACGGTTAAACCTAAACTAGTTATTTGTTCATATCCACTTTATGGTAGTACAGTACTCATTCCACCCAACCTCCCGCTTTTATCGCTTTTTTTCCGACCGCTCGCTGCTTTCCGACCGGAAACTGACCGCTTTTTTTCCGCTCGCTCGCTCGCTTTTCTTCGCTCGCTCGCTCCTGCTATGGCTGGCTTCAGAAACATCGTCCGCTTGCCAACCGACCGCTGGAGTAACAATGATCGTACATTGTATGTATAAACTTAAGTTTATATTCGTAATAAATTTAGGTTTTAATGACGATTCAAAACACAACGCCTATTGTTTCCCTGTTTTGGAACAAAGACGCCTTCAAATCACTTGACACATTGTAACGTTTGCTACGCAAGTCGAACTGTGACCTGTATTTACATATTTACGTCCTTGTGGGTGTAGTTCAAGT